TAATATTGAAGGCACGCCTACAACGACAACCACAAAAGCACACCAACAAAAAATGCTAATAAGCAATTGTAATATTTTCCTCTGACCATACCTCTGTTTAGTGGGTCATAAGTTAGAGGCATTACCCACATATAGATTAATAATAAGCCATTAGCAGTATTCTCCACAGTTCACGTTATTTTTTTTTATCATAGGCGTTCTTATTTGAGAAATATTTTTTTTTATTATGATTGGTCTACAAAAGTTGTATACTAAGTGACGTGTCATACTTCTCTTGGTTATTGTTTAAAGGTTCGCCCACAACCCGACACATCATTTAGTAAATTGATTTTGCATATCGATGTTACAAAACCTCTCATTGTCCTTTTTACTTTCATCAATTTTGTTATCCTCGTCAAGTTTGCCATATGATCCAAAATCCTTCATTTGGAGCAAGACTATGTTTAGGTCAACTCTTCGTGAGTAAGCCCATTTTCCCTTTTCATGAAGTGGGCTCGAGTCTTTGGAGTATTAAGGATACTTTGCCCAACTTAAATCAAAGAAGAGGTGGGTTAGCGCGTAGCTGAGATCGCAAGATCTACAGTCCAACTAGTGATTTACCACTTTTGGCAGAAAGCTCAACTTAAATCAAAAGAAGAGGTTGGAATTTTACGATTCAATACGGTTCCATGGTCTTAACGGATTGACATTTCAATATCTTCTAAGTTTGGCTGTGGATCCGGTCGATGTGCTTACGTCAGCATGATTAGAAAACCATCTAAAAGTTCTAAAAAATTTGAAGATTTAGGGTTAAAATCTAAAATCTAGGGGGAGAAAAACTATTAACTCATTGAACCAACAGAACAAGAACAAAGAAGAAATGGTTTCGCTGAGAAGTGGCCCATCGTATGTATTTGAGCTATGACCATGAGCCTCATAGAAACCCAAAATGAAACCAAACACCGGTCCAACTGAATTTAATTCGGTCTAGACCAATTGTTTTGATGGGTTTGACTGGATTATTTTAGAACGACCGGTTCAATCTAGTTGAACCGGCTGGTCCATCCGGGTTCAGACACATTGGCTGTTTGATTAAAATCTTGTTTGATAAAGTAAAAGCGTGAGTAGGGACGATCAATGTATCCCTTTAAGGGTTAATATAAGGGCTCGTCACTCGTTACAGAATGTTTGAATTGAGCCATAATTACTAATTTTAGCCGTAGGTGTATAAACCATCATCGCAGCGCCACTGCAAGATGTTTGTTTAAGTCAAAATTGTGTATTGCGACTGTCAAATACAATTTATTGAGGTAGTAGTTGAGGAAAAGACTAGTATTTATGGATTAGGCGCATGACAAAGGATTTGATTTCACACACCCCCGAGTGCAAACAATTCATGTTTAGGCCATCGAGCCGAACTTTGACTCATGTCTTATCCTATATTCGAGGTTGATAAGATATTTCGTCACCTTGGTTAAACACTCCATTTTAGTTAAAAAGGGTTGTCTTTTATGGAAAGAAATCTGTGTGCAGATTGGTTAACAAATTGGATCATTCAGTCATGTGATGTAAATGTTATTCCAGCATTAGATAGGTCACCGCTAGGTTTGCTTCCCCTATAGATAGGAGATCAGTCCGGTTTAAGCTTTGTTAGACAAGTATTAACGTATTACTCGAGCTTTGCCCCTTTTTCTTTAAAAAAAATGTCTTTTATATGGTGGCTTGTACGGTTGCAAAGATTGGCGCCCCTTTTTCTTCTCCGGAATCTTTTCGTGTCTCACATGGCCTTCCTCTACGTGGACTTGAACGTCTGACTACACGAAAGTGAGCTCATGCGTGTGTGATCCATCATCGAAGGAACACTAGAACATGCGCATTAAATTCCTTGGCGATGTCAAGAGACTCCGATGCTAAGCAACTTCTCACACAGTTGTCTACCTTGTCTCCAGGACCAGAGATATCACGTGTCCACCGTCGTTCTTTGATAACTTCAAACTTTCGAAACGAACCGCCGCGCCACGCACTTGACTCCTGGATGGTACTAGGACAAGCATGTCGAGGTCGATTTCTCGACCCTTCTATCTGTATATCTTCTTTTGGTGTCTTTGGTTTCCGCAAATCCTCATATCGAACATGTATCAGGTGCATTTTAAGGTTTTGTCCCCCTATCAAGTGCTAGGCGTGGAAGCTTGAAGATATAAAACGTATTCCGCATCGTCCTGTCTAAGTGGCTTATGATCTGTGACACCTTGTGATCGTTATTCCTGAACAATATGCAAACTTCATCGGCTGACTCCTCCAGGATGTGCTTCTCCGAGTTTGCATCACGTTCTTGCCTTCAACCATCAATGCTCGGTTCGCAAACTTTCATCTTGGCCATGTTATTTGATACAGCTCACTCACATGGACTTCCTCAAAGCACATATCACATGAACATTTATGCAAGAAAAGACAGCCCAGAACCCCCGCACGTCGCATGCAATTACGTCCAGTAAGTAATAACGTGAGCGTAGCATCAAATTCACTTGTACTCTACTCATTATATACATGCACCATCAATGGAAATATAAAAATCCATAATAATAATGCGATATTAGCATATTAACATGTGAAGACGCATCTTATGACATACCACACCGTGGGTTATAAGTAGCCTCCTCCTCTTCTTTTAACTCGTCGTTGACACTTCCCATCAAATCTTCAAGAAAATGGCGAAGTCGTTCGTCGCGATTAATAGCTCCACAAACAGTTCATGGCTTCTCCTGGTTTCATTCTTTCTCATTGTGGCCACGTCTCTAAGACAATCAGAAGCGGCCGTGTATAACGTGCTGAGCTACGGAGCGAAGCCGGACGGGAGGTCCGACTCGACCCAAGCGTTCCAAAGAGCGTGGTCGTCGGCCTGCACGTCGGCTGCGCCGGCCACTGTCTACGTCCCGCAGGGCAACTTCGTGCTGGGCCCGGTGGTGTTCACCGGGCCATGCAAGAGTAGGATCTTGTTTCAGATCGCAGGGACCCTGGTAGCGCCATCAAATTACTGGAGTTTGGGGAATTCTGGGTATTGGATATTGTTCATTAAGGTGACAAGGGTTCAGGTTTATGGAGGGACTCTCAATGCACAAGGTTCTGGTTACTGGGCTTGCAGGAGCTCTGGCAAGAGTTGCCCCGTGGGAGCTATGGTGAGTTATACCAACTTTTGTGTGGATTAACTTGCGCATGCATGGTACATATATTATATAGTGATTGATTTTCATTCCGCTTGAGTTTCTATTCTTTGATTATTTGGCTACTGCTCTTGCTAGTTTGTAGTGTGATTGACATATCGGCCTCGTTATTTGCTAATGATCAGCAAATGACAATCGTCATATGGTTAAGCGAATGTAAACACCTCCTGACTTGCTTGGTGGTTTTCGACATATTGCAGTAATGGTTAATTAGCTGCCCAAATGACACATAATAATCATATTGCTTGTTTCCTTGTCTTTTGGGTAGTCGATATCGTTCCAATGGTCGAGTGATGTCGTGATCAGTGGCATAACCTCCATGAACAGCCAAATGTTTCACATCGCGATCGCCAACAGCGCGAATGTGCTTATCCGGAACGTGAAGATAAGAGCGCCGGCACAAAGCCCCAATACCGATGGCATCCACATCAGTTCTTCCACTGGAGTAACCGTTGTCTCCTCCTCCATCATGACCGGCGACGACTGCATCTCCATCGGTCCAGGCTCCAAGAACGTCTGGATCAAGCGTATTGTCTGTGGCCCCGGGCACGGCATCAGGTACACCGAAATAAAATCCTTTACAAAAGAAGAGATCGATATACTTTTGATTCCTGTCAAGTTTTCAGTATGGAGCGGTTTTATTTCTGTTATCATCGATTCGATTTCTCTGTAAAATAGTTTACCTCCAAAAGGACTGAGGGTATCTCTAATTTACTATATTCTGTAGAATGTGGTTCAATATTCTCGTGTTCGCAACATCGGGTAACTGCATACTATCCAATACCGAAATCAGTAGCCCAACTGATCTACTAAATTTCTTGTAATTTTCGTGTTGTTGTACATGAACAAATATTAACGTGTGGAATTCGACAAAAACAAAATGCAGTGTTGGAAGTCTGGGAGTGAATGCGAATGAAGATGGAGTTGAGAATGTGACAGTAACAGGTGCAGTTTTCACAGGAACTCAGAATGGAGTGAGGATCAAATCATGGGCAAGGCCAAGCAATGGATTTGCTAGAACCATTTCTTTCAGGAACATCCTCATGAAAAATGTGTTCAACCCCATCATCATAGACCAAAATTACTGTCCCAGCACAAATTGCCCTAATCAGGTACTTGCTTAACCCTCCAGCAGATCTTAATCGAAGAAGATATTCGTTTGAATTGGATAAAATTTGGTTGACCAGGATTCTAACAAGTTCTCGTCGACCTCACTTGACTTTTTTTCTGTCATTTATTTCACTCGTATTATTCTCTTTGCAGAATTCAGGAGTGAAGATTAGCCGAGTTACGTACAAGAACATCAAAGGAACATCGGCCACACAGGTTGCGATGAATTTCACTTGCAGCCCGACGAATCCATGCTGGGGCATTGCATTACAGAACATAGAACTCACGTATCTTACTAAACAAGCCACTTCTTCCTGTAAGAATGCTGGAGGCAGCAGCAGTGGAATTGTTGTACCGAGAAGTTGTTTCTGAATTTAAAATATGTTCTTTTGGTCGAGGGTTGCATTTTTTTTGTTTCATGCTAGTTTGTATGTAAATAAGCACATTTCATGTTTTCTTTGATTACACCCATCATCCAATTGAAAAAACCACCATTGCAAAACAAAAACACCTATGACTTCCACTGGACTTGAGCAATTTATCGCCCTTGACTTAATCTTTCAGTTAGGTGAACCAATTATAATAGAAAGACAAATTGCGCAGCAGGTAACCGGAATTTTTCTGGCTAAAGCTGAAAATTGCACAATTTACTGATAGAATATGCTCTGTACAGAAAAAAGATACATAATGGAAGCTCAAAAAGTCATTCCTTTCATATACTTGAGGAAAGATTTTGCATCTCTCCAGGAATTATACACAAACAGTATAATCATACACCCAAAATTATCTCCCGATTACTTTCCACATTTCCACCTCTATTATATAAAAGAAAAAAGAGCTATTTTGCCGACAACATTATACAGCCTTGACTAACATGCCATTAGTTAAAGAATTAGAAGACGACCAATCTAGTTGAAGAAATATCTGAAAGCATGGTAAAAGAATTTGAACCTGCTCCTAGAAGCAAGAAGCTGAGTATTTACATCCGGATATTGCCTGCTTCGCATGAATCTGAGGAAACCTTCAGCATCAGAACCGAATGTGCAGTTGGCAAGGGTGCATAAGGTCCCAAACAAATATCCCATTTCCCGCTCAAGCATTCAAGGGTTGTGCAAATTCCGGAAGTCATCAACGTCAGTAGAATTGCTGTGCTGCCGATGTTCAGGCAGGTAAACTGAACCACCTTGACTTTTTCTGGAACTGGTCAACTTTGAGTCCACACGAAGCATCTTAGATGAATAGCAATGATGCACCCGGATCCGGTAGCTCTGTATTTCGGTGGAGCAACTTCCTTGAATTATCAACTTTAACATCACTTCCTTATCCTGGGTATCTTCAGACCACCAGTTCTGTGGTATTCCCTCAACCAAGTCCTCCAGCGTATGCAATTCTTCATGGTGGACCGAAACCTCCACAAATTGTTCCGGTTTTATTATGCCACCAGCTGGCATCACCTGTATTGCGATACAACACAAGATTACCTCAACTTGGGATGGTAGATATGTATCTACAGGAAAGATATTCATGAATACTAGCGGAAAAGTAAGAATTTGCTAGGAATACGAACACATATTCTCCTAATAACCTGAATCACTTATAGTGTTCCTCCTCCATCAGAAACCAAATGGATCCCTTAAGAAGAAAGACCCATAGAATGAGTTTGCCGATGTCTTAAAGCATGCTTGCATAATTTTTTAGATTGATACACTAAGACATTATTTTAGATATACACTAAGACATTATTGTAGATATACCTGGCTAAAATAATGTCTTACAAAACTTTAGTTGATATAGATACAAGGTACTTTAAGCTGAGCGCACAATTTGAAGGGACCACATCCATTGAGGCAATGATACAACCCAATTCTCCAGGATATGACAGGGGAGACCATGGGAAGTGTTGGAATCAACTATCAGACGAATGTTACTAGATGGCAATAATCTAGTGAAATTGGAACACCTCCTACCGCTGGACCAAATGTGGATCCACTGAAGGTCAGGCTGCTACCAAACGTAGTTAAGTTAATTAGATGGCTAATCCTTGGCTTAATCGGGAAGAGGCTTCTCGATATTGATATCTAATTGTTGGTCTTTTCATTCGGCCAACGCAGAGAAAAAATACCTCAAGCCATCGTGGGAAGCCGAAGGAACCTCTTGGACGTTGATCTGATGAATGAGCATCCTCCTTCATAGCAGACTGACCTTCACAGATAAATCTAAACACGGCTTTGTCATCGACACATCTGTTGGTGATCCTTAAAACATAAGTGTCCTGGTTCTTCAGAAGTATTCTGTCAGTGCTCACAACAGTTTCAGGAACACAACGCATTTCTGCTAGCATGGTCCTGATGTTTTCATTTGATTTCACTATATTCCCAAACTCTTGTCTCCTAACTGATCGATCAACATGAGCAATTTCAGCACTGAACTTACAGCGTACAGGTTTGTGATCACTGTCGGTCACATCCATACAAGCCTCATACCTTCAAAAAAGAAACAACATTAATTTTACACTGAATTCCCCAATTGTAAGTAGGCACAGATGAGGTGGAACGTACTGTAATATAGATGTGACAATGGGACACTCCAAGCTGCATTCTGACACTGAAGAGGACCGGTTGTCACGATAGAGGATTCTGTCGCACCAAGCAGGAATGCGCTTCTTCTCTCCAGAATCATATCCTGATACATAAAAGCAACTGCCTTCAACACCAATAACAAAACAAGAACTAATAAAAAGCAGGCACAAGAGCTCCATTATGGGGAACCTTCGGTTAGCTATATGGTTCCATGTACTTTGCAACACTGGCAAGAAGCTATGGTCCTAGTTTATTAATCCTTTACCTCCTAAACCTGCTTGGTGACGTTCAAACTTGTAAGTTGGAGGAAATCTGATGAGTGCCTCACGCATTCCTTGGAATACTTTCCCTGCCTTCATTTCTTCTCTCAGTTGATCCTTTTCTCTAAGCCAATCAAAGCTTCTCTGGGAAACAAAGTCCCTTGCTTCATCATAAGATATACCAAATAGTCTGTAGTTGAAATCACCAAGAAACACCACCATATCTGCCTCTGACAGATCAGGTCTTCCCTCCTCAGAGTTGTGACCCGTGTTCTGTGAAACACCAGTCCTTGTTACTTCAATCTAATAAATCTAAATATATCCATTTGAGTGGCAGGAGGAGTACGAAGGCAAGAAATGCCATTTGAGAGTAAATGATTGAAAGAACTACTCACACTCATACTGCGAGGCATCTGTGCCGAAGAGGAGACACCAGCTGCAACAGAGAGCACAAATGGCAAGCCAGAAGAATAGAGTAGCCAAAATGAATATATGCACAAGGCAAGATAGCAAGACAAAATCAGGTATGGGACCATACCAGCTGCAGCATTGAGTACATTATATGATCGGCTGAATGCCATAGTTCGGTAGATGTGATCAAAATCAGCATTCCGCCGATTGACAGCTTCCAAATGTGCTGCCAAGTGACAGTTCACAAAGCATATAATCCGATCATAGACACGGATTCTCAAACCTACACCACCCTGATCAACCAGACATGGTCATATCAGTGAATGTCATGTAGGAGGCTATCGAGAGTACACAAACTCCGAGTTTAAAATTATCTAAGTCTGCTTCTGCAAACATGATAAACTCTAACTTCAAATAAACTAGGAGGTTTATGGAGGAATGGGACAAACCTTATTACCAATTGCACGACCAAAGCCACATGCAACTGCTGCCACATCAACATCTCCAACGTGTGTTCTGAGATTCTTTCTAACCCTGTACCAAGTACAGAAAAAAAGGAGGTCAGAGACCCTAGGATGTATTGGGAAAATATCTGGGGTTAGGGATATTGAATGTTGACCATTTGGAAGTTAAAAAGTAAGACCAAATTAAGCTGCATTCGCAAAATACTAACATAATAAAACCAGAGATACGGCATAAGGGCTAACAAACTAAAGGACATCAACGAAGGTGAAGTCAGATTTGTAGTACCATGGATTGGCAAATAGAGCTTGGGTATTCCGAATTGGAAAAATGCCCTAATCATTGACCCGTTAACATCGCATTTACAGTTATCCTGCAAGGACTTACCAGAGAGCTATGAGCAACCCAGCCAACTGCCTAGACCCCATACGCTCGAACGTATTTCCTTCATCCAAAGTCTTCCCAATAGTATCCAGCCACCAATGTCCAATTGAACTCCCTTCAAGCCCTACCTAAAATGGGCAGACTATGTGAGAACTCATTTTAAGAAAAACTCCAACAACAAGTATGCATCAAACACATGCTTGAACAGGCATGCGCCCAAGTGCCAAGCAGCAAGTGGATGAGGAAGGAAAAGATGGAGCAAAGAGAAAACATATCTTCAAAGTTAACTAGAGGTTCATATGATTGAGAGGGACCATCTTAGAAATTGACTCAGGAGTTTCATCAAAGACTAGAGGATCATATGAATGGAAAAACTGCAACAACTATTTGCTAAGAAATATCTGCAGAAAAGAAAGAAAAGATATTTCCGTTAAGGGATTTGATCAAATTCGTTAATTGGCTGATGGTGTCAGCAATCACCAAGTGTTCTCTGTCAAATGATGGAGTGACTTATTGGGTAACCAGAAGGATAAGTCCTAGAGAATGAGGACTTGTCTATTTTTCACATTTGCTATCAATAAACAAAAGAACCTTGAAGCATAGCCCAATTGACCCATAGTCAATCATCAATAGAAGTCAAAGAAATCATACAGTTTCTTTTGCGGCTGACATCGCAAGAAACCCGGCACCCATCTCCACTTCTTGGCACCCAATAACAACAATTCCAACATCTGAGGCAGCAGAACCTAACCACAATGAAAGCGACTCCTGAGAAGCTCTTCCCTGGCCAACATTCCACGTGCCAACCAATATTTTGACATTGTTTTGTCTTGTGTATATTTCTTCTTTTGCAGCCAATTCTGACCGTATAATGTTGTCAATAGGTCCTGGGGATGTTATATTCCACCCACGTATGCCACCATGAGTGGCTAAGCTATATATATAATTTCTTCCAACTGCCAATTTTATCACCGGGCTGCTGTGAGCAATCCACCCTGCAACTACATTTCCCTCGAGGTCCAAGACCTGGATTAATCCACTGATATAGCCTACATAAATTCGTGTTCCAAGAGTACAGAAGCATAGAACTGCACAAGCATGGTGATTAAAATCTTGCAAACGGGTTCCCCGTGTATCCCACTGCACCAGTAAACCATTTGAGCATCCAGTCCAAATCATTCCATCGGCAGTTTGAACAAGTGCTTCTGTTTTCTTGGTATTTTCTTCCGTAAATGCCCCAGCACCCTTTGTAGCCACTCGGCGAACTGCATCAGCAGCTCCCATTATGGCATTACGAGACCGCTGCAAAAAACTAGTGCTCTGAGATTTCTCCTTTTTCGATGTAGAGACAAATTTAACTTTCATTTCATCTTCCACCGCTTGATCTGGTACTGAAGCAACATCAACCCGGTTCTCGATCTGACCCTCTATGTTAAAACATTTCAAAAGCTCTTTAGTGCGAGCATTCCTGCAAACAATTACCATGTTGAAACTAAATATCTTCAAAAGCAAGATGATTGTCCATGAAATGATTTTTATACCGAATCATTTCTACATTATCTCTTGAAGATGTTATTAGTCTTCATATGCTAGAATGCTCAAACTACATATATCCCTGTTTTAGTTTTCTAACCATTCTTAAATTCCTTCATCTGAAACCTCTGACTGCATATATCCAGAAGCCCCAAAAATATATATTGGGAATTTGAAGCTAGCTAGCATCAAATTCAACTTTTTAAATCAATAGCTACCAAATAAAATATCTACATATTTACGAGCATAAAGCAATATTTTTTTCAACATAAGATCCAAATAAAAGCTAAGCTAGCTAGCCTTGAAATCAGATTTCCCGCCAATTCATCTTGCAGTTAAACAACACACAATTGGAAAGATACTAACATCATCCACAGAAAAGTACTTCCAGAAAGCCTAATAATAATTGAACAGCATGCAATCTAGAATCGGTAACTAAGTTTGACAATTGACTACTACCTTTTCTCTTTGAGCCATTTCATGTAAATTATCCTTGTCAACTAGTTATCCCAGAGATTTTCATGAGAAGACACAAGGCCAGTCCCAAAGAAGAGATGTCTCAAGACACATACCATTTTGAAAACGAGAGTGCTCCCACAGCCCAAACTTTTCCTCTAACATTATCTGCTAATAAGCACTTCACGTCCGAAGAAGAAATGCTACAAACACCGTTGACGGTGACTTGGCTCTTTAGGTCTATGAATGATCTCTCCACCAGTAGAGCAGCCATGTGTTTTTCCTCTGGTGATAGAGAGAGAGATTTTTCAATGGTTTCCCAAGGCCATATTTTAATAACGCCACCTTCGAATCCAGTCCAAAGATCACCTGTATGAATTAACATTAATAGGTCAGCACGCAAGTTTCAAATTCTAATGCATCATAACAGTAAAAAATGCAGATGCAGGCAGAAATCTTTACAACAGCAAACTGTCCATTCCTGGTCATGTAGACTGTCCTTCAAGAGCAAGATAACTCCGAAAGAACAACAGGACAGTAAAAGCAGTAGAGCTTCACAATTGATGCAGTTGACTGATACAACCATTTCTAATTTTAACATTACAAAAAATTCGGATTGGGCACATGCTGCAGTCACTTGGGACTGGAATCATAGATGATTACAACTGACAAAACAAGCCTTCAACTTGGCAGTTGAACATGACCCTCACATTGACCTACTTTCATCTCCATGTCACCAGCAAGTTCCGTCAATCATGCCTGCTCTAGTTCACTGAAAATAGTTCCCTGGAAATTAACATACTTGTTCACAAAATCAAGTACGAAAACTGTTTAAATGTCTAAATCGAAGACCTAAGCTGATGGGTGGAGGGAGACTACATGAATATAAGGCATATTGAAACCCCATAGACAAGCAATGTGGGATATTAAGGCTTTCTTCCTAGTGCAAACTAGACTAAGAAGGAGACGTGGAAATGACAATCGGGGAGCCTCACAAGGAGTAAATCTACAGAATTTGATACTAATATCATGTTAGAAAGGACCTAAAGGCTTAAACTGGTAGAGGAGGACCACATGAATATAACACCATGGGACCCCCATAGACAAGTGATGTGGGATATTTTCGTACAAACAACTAACTTGAATTGCCAGAGATGCGCCACATGCACAATATGGATAATAACCGAGAAAATGAATATTCACCATCGTCCAGATGCTGCATAACTACAGTGTCAACCTTTATGAGCGACCACTTTGGCCGGGAAATTAATCAAGCACATCCAAAACTGAACTGGAAAATCGCGAGGCCAAAAGAATATATAAGGTGACCATTACGCTCTCTCTGTCTTGATTACAAGGGGGGTTGGGCAGATATCCGAGTGAACTCCTAATGTCCTATATTAGCTAGTGAAATGTGAATATCAAGCACCGAGTCAGAACCAAAGAGCACATTATTAATTGGCAAGTTTTCTCTAGGCCAAACTAAAAGCATGCAAAACTAAGACAACAAGCAGTGTCACAAAGAACAAGTACGCTGGTCGAATCATTCAATCACACTCTCTTACCATAAGAAGTCATGACCATCGAAAGCACTGGACCGCGATGCGCCTGCCATGACAAGCCTTCCTTGAAAGGAGCATCCTGCTCAAATGGCTGGTCCATCTTCCAGGATCTGATCTTCCCATCCTTATGACCAGTCCACACCAGCCTATTCCCAGAATCAACTATCAAACACATTGTGGGTGACGTTGTCACAGACTCATGGAACGGCGCGGCATCCTCATCGCCTCTCCGGGTCCTACCCCCGAGCCCTGACCCGACCTCAGACACCTTCGTGAGATCCCAAACCCTCACTCCGCTCTCCTGGCCAGCCCAAAGCTGAGTATCCGTACAAGCAATGTTCCTGAGGAACTTACCCACCTGAGTCTCCTTCAGGGGATGCGGCCTCAGCTCCAGACACGGAGGCCGGCTCGGATGCACGGCCGAGCGCGGCGGCACACGGAAGATCCCTGCTCCGCCGCCACTCGCGACGAACTCCAGCATTGGATGGAGATCCTCCCTGGCGGGGGCGTCGCCGGCAGCCGCCTTGTGAGAAGCGTAATCAGAGTCGTCACCGCTGGCGGAGGCGGTGGAGGAGTAAGGGAAGAAGTCGTCGGCGTCGTCATCGGAGGAGGAGCGATTGGTGTAGAACTGGTCGATGCTGGAAGGGATGCGGTCGTCGTCGAGGCTGTGCTTGCGGATCTGGTGGCGCTTCTTGTGGGAGGAGGAGGGGGTGCGGAGCTGCTGGCTGTAGGAGTGGATCTTGCGCGGCGGAGGGACGGAGCTCAGGGAAGCGATCGCGTCCCTGTCGTCGTCTTCCATTCTCTCGCCCTCCATTTCATGTGATTTTTTTCCGCAGAGGGATTCGGTTGCGCTGATAGAAGAGAGACAGAGAGAGAGAGAGAGAGAGAGGTGGAGATCAGAGAAAGTTTCAGAGAGAGAGAGAGAGAGAGAGAGAGAGGAGAGAGAAGCGAAGGATGGGAACGGGAGTGAAGAGCGAGAAGAGAGGCGAGGTTGATGGAAGCGAAGGGACAAGAATGAAGACGAAGCAGAGGGAGCGAGACAGAGAGAGAGAGAGAGAGAGAGAGAGAGAGAGAGACAGAAACAGACAGTTTCAAGTTCGTTGGTAGTTGTCGTGGCCACACACGTGTGACGTCGCTCGTGTGGCTTTTCCCGCGGAAATTTGTCAAAATGACAATGCCAGTTCAATACCTCTCCCTTCACTTCCCCAAGACAGGACTCGCGCACATCGTGCTGGAAATTTCCGCGAGGTGGTTCACCGAAATGAGAAAAATAAGGGGAAAATTTCACAAAGTCAATTCGATTGTCAAGCATGGAAAAAGGAAAAAAAAAACAGTCAGCTATCCGAGGTTCAAATCCTGGACAACTCGAGTCTCCTATCCTGAAAATTACTGATCGGCGATGTCATGAGATCATCGCCTTATGAGATTACCCCGAATCTCTAAAAGGTCCGAAAATATGACAATCGTAACAGCAGGAGATTACCCGGAATCTCTAAAAGGTCCGAAAATATGACAATCGTAACAGCAGAAAGTCAATCGTCCAACTCCTTTCAATTTCGACGGGCATATCTTTCTCTCTCCGCATAGCATGATATAAGACATTGACTGATTAGGATGAGCATTTGGCAGCTTGAACAATGGCTTCAACAATAAAACCTTGCTCGATGCTGTTGTTGGGAATCGGTAAAAACTTAAAACTTACGTGAATAATTGCATTGATGGAATTTGTGGTGGTAGGTAGAACTGTAAAAGTTTCGAAGTTAGAGGATGCAATCAGGTCTTGCTCCTTTTTAATCAAACTTTGGAAAGTGCTTTTCTTACTCAACAACAAGCTCACACCCTTCTAGCCAAAAAAACAAACACAAGCTCACACCCAAGCACCCATCTCATTTTTCAAGCTGAATCAGTCGGCATGCTCGGTAATCAAGTCCAGAGTATTTGTACATATAGAAGTAGCAAAAACCATAAAGACTGAAAGAGAAATGAGGGGAAAGAGGGAAAGCAAATTGCCTCCCAACTTTTACTTCTTGCTTGTAGTTTCTCCGATTGATGTACGATGAGATTGGAGGATTGAGAATGTTGCAAGATATCACACCGTGGAGTTCTTTATTATCTTCTTCCACCTTCCAATCTTTTCCTTTCCCTGGAAAACAGAAAAGTCATGTTAGAGCCCTTTTATATATGAGCGCGCATCCTGACACACGTAATGAGACAGCAACCTTTTCACTCTTCTGTATGCAACAGGAAAAGAAGTGTTGCATACACTGCCGACAAATCTTTGCATTTAACAGTTTCGGTAAAGCTTCATCAACTAATCAAAGTCTAGACGATAAACCAGCGAGAAAGGATATCACCACCAACAACGCTACTACACTGCTTGTCCCACCTTGAACAGCTTAACGAGATCGACCCAGCCTATTTGGAGACTAGAGTTCTCAAATAGCGGTATAGAGTTTTTGTCCCTATTCGTCTTTGGTATGCCTTTTCAATATGAACTTTTCCAATTCTATCAAGTATCAATCAAGTGAATCGACTTAGAATGTCTCACAACATTACAAAGGCAGGAACACAACAAATACCAAAGGTTCATCTAATAGAATCAACAACCATAAGTTCATGTCAAGAATAGAAGCAACCATCTAGACATACCTTGCGGGGTCCAACAGCCAGTTCATTATCCATAATGGAGATAGCCTTGAAGCCCAAGGGACACAATACCTCCTCATAACTGTACAAATACAAGTTAGCCTATTTTGCAGCCATAAAGCTAATGGCATATTACGCAGCATTCTGCTCATGACGCACTTATAAACTACACTGGTATCTAGACCACTGAAAAATGAGTGCTTACTCTGATATTGATACTTTATAAGGAGGTCCATCAATGAGATCACCGATCTGCACAACCAACCAAGAACCATAAGATACATAGATATAGCCTGACATACACTTCAACAATCAATTATATCCATTGGATTTTCCAAGACCTATCATGGAGCATCCTACAATCAGTAGAAAACTAGAGATTAATATCAGAAACCTTGTCAATTATAGAAAAAGCTGAAAACTTCTTTCTACAAGAGAAGGAAAAAGAAAAGAGAGGAAAAAGGCGACAAAGACAAGAAACAAGCAAAGTGAAATGTCCTATTATTCTTTCACATCCTTCAGCCGTCATAAGAATGTGGACCTTAATAGCATTCGCCAATTTCCCAAGTCCATTCAGAGACTGATTTACAGAGTCAAAGTATTTCTGTTCGATTGCGAAAAGAAGCATCGATAGAAAGGAAAAAGAAAAGCATATTAGACAGTTAAAATTAGAACCGGAAACATCAGGGTGATGAGCTCGCCATCTGGTCCCAATAATTCACTCATTCGCTCTGCCCATGCTGCTCTTATTTCTGGCTCAATTGCACAAAAGAACCTGCTCGTTGGGGGGAAAGGAAAAATTTGATCACCATTGATTTCCTCACAGAAATGGAAGAAGATGAAAAGAACACAAATGGCTTAATTTGACTTACGTATAATCAAAAATAAGATCAAAGAGCTCTGTTGGATTCCAAGTGAAGAAATCCTCCTTCAGGAAGATGAAATGATTTGCATTTGGTGATGAAGAGAATAGCTGCCTCATGCATAAGATGTTGAATGAGACTTTGGAAAAGAGAATCAGCTAAACAAACATCTCACTACGGAACACGAACTCAAGTACCAGACCACATCAGCCTTTTTAAGCGCATGAAACACACTAACTGGAGAGAAAAACCATACAAAGCATGTTCTGGCACGAGAGCTTCACTTTGGAATTTAAAGGCATCCTTCACCAATCTCAAGAATAAAATAGAAGTTAGCATGCTATATGATTGCCTAATTAATGAACCAACCGAGCACAAAAGAGCTAATCCGCTATTATAAATGGATAATACAATAAACTAAATGGTACTCTGGTACCAAATCTTATGTGAAAACATAGAAGAGATATCCTCCACTCAAATGGCTCTCTGTTAATGTCTATCTACAGGTAAAGTGACATCACTAGCAAGCAGCAAAGCGACGATCTCTTGGTTCTTAGCATGTCACGGTAGTCTAACAGTCATAATTATGTGACAAAATTATGCAGCTGACATGCCCCGTGATACTAAAGAAGGAAATGCGTCATTTCTAGTCCCTAGCATTTTTCGTTGATAGCAGCCACAGAAATTTATAGTCCCACAAGGGCAACTTGGAGCAAAAGGAAAAGGAAGGTGTCATATCATCACCTTCATGGGATACTGAAATGAGTTGCTACATACAGGAAAGCAGAGGAAAACACAGTACATACTTATAATCAAAGAAATTGTGCTTGAATAACTTCTACCACTTCAAATTATTTTGGATTGGCACGTTGTCAGCTGTTGCGGAGCCTGTATGTGCTATATACAGAAGAAGAGATAATCCACCCCCAGAGAAAGCAAGTATGCAACGCCCAGTCATCAGCATGATGCATAAATTCAAGCCCAAGAAGTGTTATTACCTGTATTGCTCTCTTTATGGCACCTTCTGATATGTCTATTCCCACAACATAGCGTTCGGGACAGGCAATAGATGCCACATCATAGCCCTGTCACATGCAGGGAACTTCGTGAGGGCCAAAAACAGCAGCATTTGCTTTGGATCTCAAAGGTAAGCTCAAATAATGGAAGAGATGGTACCACTTACAGAGCCACATCCTGGAACAAGAGCCCTGCCTTTTGGAAGAGCACCCATCTGGTGAAGCTGCTGAAGTATTGGGGTCGGTTGTCCTAAATCCCAGGGGGTCAACCCTTGCTCCCAGCACTTCTTCCAACCATCTAGTAAGAAGCCAGGGACTCGAGTTATTATAGTACCATACCGATTGTAATTCGCAAGTTTGACAGCCCAACATAACCCTCTAGCGCCCACCACCCCGCATAGACATAGGCGTACGAAGCAACAAAACGGCGGCTTCAACTCGGCCGACCCAACACAGTCAACGCGCGGAAGAAGCAGAATCACCGGAAGAAACGAAGCAAACGCGCGCACGGAAATCGAGAGAGAGCTCCGAGGAGTACCGGCCGACTCTCCGTGGACGAGTTGCTTGATCCGATCGACGTGGGTGGCGAGCTTGGACTTGGAGGCGGCGGCGACGCCGTCGCCCCCCTCCCCGCCGCTCGCGGCCATCCCCCGGGTGGCGCCGCCGGCGCCGGCGGAGGCGGCCTCCTCCGCCCTCGCGCTCGCGGCGGAGGCCGCTGTACGGAGACGGCGGAAACGGAATCGCCCGGCGCAGAGCTCGGATCGACGGCGCCACAACGGAAGCTCGGGTCGGGTATTAAGCCCGAAATACTTTTTACCCGAGCCTGTTCGCGATTTTGAACAATATTAATTATTTATTTGGACTCTCTTAGTGGGTCCCTCGTCCATGTAAGATAACTTTTCTCTTTACTCATATTACTTTTACGAGCGAGGCTCGACGACCGGCCAAAAGGCAGAAGAAAGTTAAAAGAATTAAAAGAAAAATTAGAAGAAATGTTTCAAAAATCGACAAAAAATGTATTAAATTTTATGAAGAATTATCCCTGTGACATTCCGAATTTCGACCCATTTTTGGGATTTATAAAACGTGTAATTCGTCAGTGTGCTTATAGTAAAATCTCGCCCGGGAACTGATCACTCCCGGTTATTGTTTTTAAAAAAAATTGAGATTTCGCTAGAATCGCATTCGATCGAATTTGGCCGTTATTTAGAGCTCAAACTTTGGCGTCGAATTTCTCGGAATTCCGGGACGAATTTAATTGGACGGTGTCGATATTAGTGTGGTCAATCTCGATATTACCTGGGATACGTGAAAAGTGAATTTTTGACCGGGTGCAAATTTGGACTGGTAGATCACCCTCGCAGTGTGTTTTTATTAACACCCTTTTGGCCAAATCCTAAAAATATTAATTAGGATTTTTTCGGGGACCGTTGGATCATTTTTCGGGTTTAAACCGTGGCCGTTGGATCGCGATTATTGCGATTTGACCTTTGCTTTTTCTCTCTCTCTCTCCTCTTTTTCCGCCGGTCTCCCCCTCCCTTTTTGCGTGTCTGACCACCAAACCCCCCACCTACCTCACTAGCCCCATCATTTCCCCTTTTCTTCTTCTTTTTCTTTTTCCCTTCTCCTTTTCCTTCGCTGGTCTTGCTTCTCCCTTGCTTCTGCTTCCCGTCGGCTACTGCTTCTGCTTCTTCATTTTTGCTGCCGCCGACTAGCCCTTCTCGCCGGAACCAGCCACCCGCCGTGCGTCGTCCACCTCCGCCGCTCGTCACCGTCGTCCCAGCTGCCCGGGCGCCACCGCCCCAGCCCTCGTTTCCGGCTGTTCTCCCAGCAAGGCGCGAGCAGCGCCCCTCGCCGGAGCCGATCGCGCCTCCCGTCGGCCCAGCCGTCATCCTCCCCGCCGCGAGCAACCGTCGCTGCGCCTTCCCCCCAACCATCGTCGTCCGTCCATCGTCCCGACCGAGCCGTGTCCGCCTTGTCCAGCCGCCGCGGTCAAGCTCCGCTCGCCTCCGTCGCTCGCCACCGCCGTCCAGCTGAGCTTCGCCGTGCGTCGCCGTCCACCTCCGACCGTCGCCGCTGCTGTCCCAGTCGACGGGAACAGCCAAGCCACGCCGGAGCAGCCCCCACAGCGGCTGTCTCCCTCGCCGCGCTCGTTCGCCGTCGTCCGCCGGCTGCCGAAACCGAACCGGAAGCCACCGCGGACCGCCCTTGTCGCCGCCGTCGTCCTCGCGTCGTCGCCGGCGTTAGCCGAGTAAGTTAACCCCTAATCCCGTGTTTAGGGTGTTAAACTTGCTTAGGGTAGTTTATGTTAAGTTTAATTAAGGTTTAGATTAAATTAATGTTGAATTATTAGATAACCTTTGGTGATAGGTTATCGTTCGTGTGATAAGTTATCGTGATGTGGTGATAGGTTATCAATTATATTAATATTGTTGATTATTTTATTAAATAAAAATATTTTCGGAATTAAATATTATTTTATTATTTTCGGATTTAAATATTAATATTTTATTATTAAATAATTAATTTCCGAAAATTAAATGTTATTATTTTCGGAAATTTCTAACGTCATATTGTGATGCCAATGTTGGATTTTACCGTATAAATTGGCATTTTTAGGAAATGATTTGAATGATTTCAATTCGAGGAAATATTTTGACATTTTGGAATATTATATTATTTTCGGATATTAGTAATTAATTAATTCCGAATTTAATTTATTGTTATTTCGGAAAATTTATAATTTCAAATTATGATTTCTAGCTTGAATGTTGGCGATTTTGCCGTGTATTGTCGTATTAAATTGATTTTATGGCAAATTGTTTGATCGAAAGTTTCTGTGGAAAATTTATGAGACTTTTGGAATTAAATTATTTTATTCTGTTATGCCAAGTAATGTTAGTGATACTTTGCGATTGATATTCGTGTTTGATATCGAAGAGTGCAAGAATTGATTGACTGTTTGCATGTGTGACCACTTGGTTTGTTATGCGGCATTGTGGGAGCACTATTCATGGACGCATGGGCTAATTGAAAAGATAATAATTGGTAGGTATGCTTGTGTGCTCGTGTGGTCACACGTTAAAGCCGTCTTCTTTGTGTATCGCTTGACGTTGCCCGATTTATCGGATGCCTGGGGATAATCTGAGTGCCGATACCCGGATGCCTTGTCGCGGCCCGAGGCCGGACTCGATGCTCCTTACGGGATACCATCTTCGTGTATCGTTTGATGTTGCCGTATTGGAATGCCGTCATCCCGTGTATCGTTTGACGTAGCCGTGCCCAGACGGGGCGGGACGGAGCCCGGTTTTTACCGGTAGACCGCCATCTTCTTTGCGTATCGCTTGATGTGTGGTGGCCCGAGGCGTAATAGTGGAATACGTGTGATGCATAGTGCTTGATTATGGGGTAGAAACTGCTAGGCATGGTATGGGACGTGCCCAAGCGGGTTTTGCCTTATAATCGAGACACGCGCGACTGTGTTGCATTAATGCATGGAAAATCTCGTTAAATGCTTCGAGTATGTGACATATGCATTTCATCAACGTGTGTACCAAGGCGAGGTGAGGATGCATGTGGTTGTTAATGATGTTGTTGTCGTCGTTTCGCCTGTTTAGGGACCCCCGTGCGAGTTGGCCTCCTAAGCGGGGCTTAGGCCGTTAACTTATTGAGATTTTATCTCATTTGTTGTTGTTAAACCTTTTTCAGGACCTTAGCTTGTCGTTGCTTCTTATGCGGTTTGGAGTACCGCAGTTTTTGGGTTGGTCCTTGAGGGTTAGGCCTGGAAGCTGATCTTTTGGATGGAGTAAATTAACCCTAACCTTTGTCTTTTGTTGGCTTTTGTGAAAACGCTGGGAGTGGGCCTGTAAGTATGTTCCCGGGGGTTAATCAAGTGAATATTAAAATGGCTTTTGTTATGTCTCGGTTTTCCTCTCGCTATCCCCGATTTAATTATTGTCCAGGGATTGTTGTGTTGGTTATCGTTTCCGCTTGCGTAATTCAAAGATAAAAGAAAAGGGTCGGCGACGAGTCCTGGGTCGTCGCATCATAACGACCATAGCGGGATGTCGTGCGCCCGCGGGTTCGGGCGTGACATCCCCGTCCGAATTGGTATCAGAGCAAGGTCAGCTCGATCCAAGTTTGGTCGAGACCTGGAGTGATAAGGTGCGATGGGTTTTGGGATAGTGAGTTAGCAAGACACTAAGTGCCTGTGTTTGGTTGTTAGCTTTTTCATTCGTAAGCAAGTTGTTCAGGAATTCTAATTCCTTGTTGGAATTGGAAAGCAGGTTTCTGTAAAGATCCTGCGAGATGGATAATCCTGAACCGAGAGCCCCTAGGAGGAGGGCCGAACCGGGTCAGGCTGGTGCCAGAAGGAGAGCACCAGGGGATCCTAGATTGGACCAGATCCTGCAGGCTTTAGAGACTTTAATAGGGCAGCAGGCTCAGAATCAAGCCGCCGCTGCCGCTGCTGTACCTGCACCTGCACCTGCACCTGCACCTGCACCTGCGCCTGTGCCTGTAGATGTTCCGTTAGCTGGCAATGGAAATGGGAACTAGCCCATGCACAAGTTGGTGGAGCAATTTCTGAAACTCAAGCCGCCCAAGTTCACTGGCGCGGGTGATCCTGAGGCTGCAACCCTCTGGATTAGGGAGTTGGATAAGGTTTTTGCCTTATTGAGATGTACAGATGAAGACAAGGTGACACTGGCAGTCTACCAATTGCAAGGTAACGCTAGTACTTGGTGGGAAGCTACCCAGAGGAGGGTATTTCCCGAAGGTACGGCCCGGGTGTGGGGTGCCTTCGTGGAAGCTTTTTATAATAAGTACTTTTCGGACTGCGCTCGAGAGCAGAAGATGAATGAGTTTCAGCGTCTCCGACAGAACCAGTTGACGGTAGACCAGTACGAAGCAAGGTTTGCTGAGTTGTCCCAATATGCCCCAAGGTTGATCGAAGATCCGGTTGATAAGGCAAGGAGGTTTAGAGATGGGCTGAAACCTGAGATCAAGGATCAACTGGTGCCCCTAAATCTGAAGGACTATAATGAGCTGTATGAAAGAGCGCAATTAATTGAGAGAAACTTGGCTGAGAGGACAGCCGCGTCTGGATCGCGGTTTGTGCCAAACAAGGATAATCATCGGTTTGGGAAGAGACCGATGACAGGAAGTAAGTTCCACGTCCCTCCTAATAAGAAAGGTGGCGTGAGGAAACCGGTGTACAACAATAATGGCCCCTGTCGATTCTGTGGAAGACACCATGGATCAGCCCCGTGCCCTATGAGGACGGGAGTTTGTTTTGGA